ACACACACACCACTTAGTTTACTTGGTGCTCCTCCAAAGAGATAGTGGACTGCTCTAGCAGGGGCACACTACGCATGCCAGACAATGCAAGGGATTTCCTGGGGTAATTTCAACTGTCAGTGCCTGGTGCTAGCCTTCAACCCCTCCCCTATCTTTAGATGTCCAACTTGGCCACTGCTACGAATTCTCTAGATCAGACTAAACTTATCCCAGGCCTGAGAGCTCCAGCCTCAACAGAGCTGCTTCCTAGGAGGTAAGAATGAGCAGGTCACACTATGCTACCCCCTGCTAAAGGAGGTGTATGTGTGTGGTCTAAATTTAAATCCTTTATGTAAGATGTAAACAGTCACCTAACTTTCTTCATTGTCCTCTCCAGCCTAGAGGTTTCCTAGATTGCTGTATGATCTGCTGGATTTAAAACGACGTGATATGGGGCAAGAATGGGGTACCTAGGTGACACCCCAGAATACAAAAGTCACAGCAGGAAGTGAGCTTCTGACACCCAAGGACTTGTGAGCGTGCTGCCCATGGGTCACAGCCATGTAGAACGTGGCTTCATGGATGTCCCAAGCAACCAGTGTTTCAGTTACCAGCCCTGCTCAGGCTAGCCCAGGAGGGGACTTAGCTCCTACACCCTCTTTCAGCTGGAGGATGCCCAGTTGCCCTGGAGACGAGACCTGAGACTGTTCTTGGAGAAACCCACTTGTGATATTGTCTATCTCTGTATCTCTGTGGAGACAGGCCATGGCTATGGTTCAGCTGCTCTGGAAAGTGACTTGATTGTGGTGACAACAGGCATGCTTCCACACCAGGTTTCGGCAAACAAACTCTGTGTTTGTTCTCACATGATCACACAAGCAGTGTGGCTGTCTATAGCTGCTTGATGAGCCAGACTTTCTTTTCCCGGTAGGCACCCAGCCCAGCACCAGCTCAATGCCACTGCGAGTGGTGCCTGCAAGGTAGCCAGGCTACAAACAAAAAGGTCTACAGCTCCTATCAAAGCTAAGGAAGATGCAAGGAGGGAGGGCCTGGTTAAACCGGCTTGCTGTGGACTCTCTCTGCAGCCTGGACTTGTCTTGTATGGCACTTCCTACAATTATGAGTAATTGTCCCTACTAGACAGGGAAAACTAGTGTGCCTATGAAAAGACATGCGCATGTACGTCAATGTAGTATAGACACAGTCTCTTAAACTGTGATTTGTGACCCCATAAGGACTGTTCACATAACTTATTGCAAAAGCCTACAACCTAGTGAGCAGTGAAATGTCTCTGAACGTGCGACAAAAAGATACCAATTCAAAATTCAAGCCCATTATAAACTGCAACTGTTTATGACAGCCCTGCTCAGGTTGTAGGCCCATGACTTCACTATAGCTCTGGATCTGAACATACAACATGCATGCTTAGTGTCCTAGCTACTTTTTACCGCTGTGATGAAAGAGCACATTTCAGTTTACAACTTAGAGTCTACCATCCGGGAAAGTCAGAAGAAGAGCATGAGGCAGGGTCCCGGAGACGGGGAATGACACAGAGGCCGTATAGAAGTGCTGCTTATGGGCTTGCTTCTCACAGCTCGCTCGGCCAGATGGCAGCATCCGGGATCATTCACCCAGAGGCAGCACTGCTCACACTAGGATGGGCCCACCCACACTGATCATCACTCAAGGAGATGCACCATCTGATTGGACGTTTTCTCAATTGAGGTTCCTTCTTCCAGAATGATGCTGGCCTGTGTCAAGCTGACAAAACACACACACACACACACACACACACACACACACACACACACCAGCCAGCACACTTAGCATGCCACTGAGCCATGAAATCCCAAGGAATGCTGCCCCAAACACCTCAGCTCAGTCAGGGTGGTCCTAAGTTCTGAGCTGCAATTCAGCTTGACCATACATACTAAGCTTCCTGCTCCAGCAGAAACAGAATGGCTTCCTTAAGGCAAACTAAGACTTTCACTACTTTCCTTCTACAACCCCTTAGCACGTATCAAATCAGTATACTTTGAATTGCATGATCTTAGGAGGTTTGATTTAAAAAATCTGTCTTAGAGTTACTGACCTGAGTTCTATTTAAAAAACAAACTATTTTGGTAAATGGGTTTTAGCTCGGCATTAGGAGAGTCCCAGCATTTCTGTGGTGGCCCCGAACGTGTCCCTGATGCTTTGTGCATTGTGTTTATGTAACTATGTGCCCAGCACTGATGATTATAGAAGTCAAATGTCAATCAACTACGAAAATCACCGATGATGCCTTCTGTCCTGTGGTGTTACATATTCAGTGGAGATTTAATTCTTTATGTTAAAAATAAATAGGCCACATGCATCTCATTCATATGAATTTTGTCTTTAATATGTGTTACAATTACAATGTGTAATAAAGAATTGATTTCAAGCAAATCTCGTTATGATTTATTGTCAGTAACTGTTTGTATGTGTTTTACAGACCTATATTCCCTGGGTTTCGTAAACATTTGGGGGACAAAAGGGATCGTGAGTGTGAAAAGTTTAAGAAATCCTAGTGTAGAAGAGGGGTAGCACCAAAACCCAGTGTGGGGAGGTGGGCTGCTGAAAGCGAGGAGTGGTACAATGGCCTTCCTTAGGACAACAAGGAAGTCCTGTTTAGTCACACAAAGGGTTAACAACACACACGAGAAAGGACAACACAAACTTCAGCATCATCAGCAGGAAATGTCCTTAGAGACTTAGCCCTTAAGAAAGCCACAACTGGGGAGCTGAAGAGATGGGCTCAGCAGTTAGGAACACTGACTGCTCTCCCAGAGGACCCAGGTTCCATTCCCAGCACCCACATGGCGGCTCACAGCTGCCTGTAACTACAGTTCCAGGGATCTGACAGCCTCAGACAGGCAAACATATAGGCAAAACACCAACGCAATTAAAAAAAAGAAAGTCATAATTGAAAAAGAAAAAAGATCAATTTGCCCAAAACAAAATTTAAAATTTCCCTAGGGCAAAATGCCCCTCAAAGAAAACTCAGTAATAAAGAAGATACTGGGAAGGGGGTTTGTAGTATAATAGTCTTTAAAAATCCATTCGCAAGACAAACTGGATATCCAGGGATGTAGAGGAGTGCATCCCGTGCTGGGGATCTGAGGCGAGGAAGAAAATAAGTGTGAGACCCCACCACACACAGCTCTCTTGGCGAAAACTGAAGTCTGGTAATGGTGAGGAGGGATGAGAACGCGGAACCCAGAGCCCTTGTGACCCGTGCACGCTCTGGAGGACAGGCTGGCACAGGTCAGGCCAGCTTGATTGCTCTGGGAGTCTGCAGCTACCCCTCGGAATGTCTTCCCCTAGAGTTCCTGTGGGGGACACCCAGGACGGACAGCAAAGGGGGATGGACAGCAGAGCACACGGCCATCAGAATGAGCAAGGAGCGCCATGCTTCCACACAGATGTGCTCGGAAAACAATGCGGGGAGGAAAGTTTGAGTTTGAGAGTTGCTGTTAACTATGCAAATGTAACACATGTATGATTTATGAGCGCACACAGAGGGATCACTACACAAAGACAGATTGGAGGACCACGCCCCAAATTCAAGATTAAGGCTGCCTCAGGGGAGGAAGGAAAAACCACAGGGACAGCAACGGGAGGAGTTTTGGCTTTAGTGAAAATGTTTGACTTCTATTATTTGAGGAGAACTCATGCAAATATGAGAAATCATTAACACTTAGCCTTTCTGTGCCTGGCTCGCTCCTGTGCAAATGAACAGATGCAGGGGAAGGGAGGCAGCTGGGAATAGACAGGCCCAGACTGAGGGGAAGGACTACCCTCGTGAGGGTAGATGACATTCCTATAGTGACTGGACAGTGTGGCTGATGTAGGAGGCTGCGAACCTTCATAGAATGGTCACCAGGTGGCTTCTGGAGGTCGGTCAAATGCGCAGTGAGCTTCAAACAGTACCACACAAACTAGATGTTCAGTAAAGAAGAGCAAAGCCAGTTTGGGGCTCCAGGCTACGTGTGCACGCCACGCAAGCTGAGTGTCCAGGTTAGCAGTGCGTGAGGGGGTGGCCACGTCTCAAGGCCACAGGCAAACAGCGTGGACACCTACGTAGTTAGCAGGGATTCTAAATGCCAAGCTACGAGGCAGGGGCAGAAGACCTGTCATAAGAAGCATAATCCCAAGAGCAGAGAAGAAATTCAGCGAGACACATGCACACATGTTATTCCTGGGTTCCAATCAAGTATAATTCCAGATGTCACCCATTGATATGGAGGGCATAACAAGTACAAGGGTTAGAGACAGGACTGGACCCGGCATACTCGTGGGCAGTGGTGCTCAGGGGGCACAGAGAGTCAGAATACAGCAAAAGCTAAAGGAGGGAACAGTGGGGACAAGACCTCGATGGATCGCTGTGTCCCAGGCCACCCCTGGCTTGCCTCTCTGGGAGGCTGCTGTCTTTATGACACCATAAAGACCACAATGACTTTCAGCCCCAATACCCAACTATTGTGCTGTCACTCCAATTCTGCTGTGCGGTAAGTTACTGGATCCTATAGTACCCTGTAAGGAAAGGCTTACTTCCTCAAAGAGGCACAAAGAGGCTGGCGCACATGCCTGGGCACCATGAGAACTGGGATTTGACTTCTAAAGCCTATATTTCTAACAGTCGGGCTCCACAAGTGGCCGTGCTTGGCCAGCACCCCAGTTCTTATAAGAGCTTTTTAGCTTTCCCCATCTGTGCCTCCAGGCCTGAGTGATGTGCCCACCACTACCAGGGTGATGGCATCCATTGGTAGTCTTGGGTGTCAGGAGGAAGTGCTAAGCCTTAGGGATGCAAACTTTCCCAAGAGAAACACTGCATGTAATTCTCAGCTTTGCTCTGGAGGCCTGACACCCAGGAGACATTGGTTATCCCCAAAAGCCAGTGTGACCCTGTCTTGCAGGAGCAGCAGCAGCCCTCATTCTTTTTTGTTTTTTGAGACAGGTTTCTCCGCAGCTTTGGAGCCTATCCTGGCATTCGCTCTGTAGACCAGGCTGGCTTTGAACTCACAGAGATCCGCCTGCCTCTGCCTCCCACGTGCTGGTATTAAAGGTGTGCTCCCCCCAACGCCCGGCCAGCAGCCTTCACAAGAGCCAGGTACGGAGTCACTGCACCTCTGCCAGCAGAGCCCCAGCTCCATTCAGGAGATCATGGAGATCAAGAACACCCAGCAGAGAGACTCCATGACAGTGCTGCAGATGGGACTCACCTGTCTCCACCTGGGACTCCAAGAACAGTGGGAGGAGGAGGAGGGAGGAGGAGGAGGGGAGAGGAGGAGGAGGGGGAGGGAGGAGGAGGAGGAGGGAGGAGGAGGAGAGAGGAGAAGGAGGGAAGAGGGGAAGGAGGAGGAGGGGAGAGGGAAAGCCAAGGGAGACGAGGGGAAACAGAGAGGAGAGAGACTAGGGCAGAGAAGGGGAAGAGGCAGAGAGGCTAGATGGTGAGAAGGAAGGGAAGAGGAGGAAGAGGGGAGGAGAGGGAAGGGAAGCAGGGAAGAGAAACAAAAGCAACCAGGAGAAATTCTGGAGATATTTGTGCGAAGGCACCAAATCCTTAAAGATAGTCCTGAAGCCCAAGTGTTTGTATAGATCCTACCCTGAGATAAATAGCAAAAGCAAGAGCTCCCGGGTCCGTCCAAGAGAGGAGGGGAGGGGAGAGTATGTGATCTGGAGGGAAGACATCTGTGGTAGTTTGCGAGGGCTACGAGAAGGGGTGCCCTTCCCCCGACGGAACACGTACCCTAAGACACACCGCTGCTACCTTAGCCTTCTCTGCAGAGCCTGGAACATTTGTGACAACTGGTGATTTGTGTAACGTATGCTCGGTCATTGAATGATCGCCTGTATGCTGGCAAGAGCTTGCCTGTATTGTCCCCATGGCGTCTTTGGTGCTAGCTCAGCACCTGGAATAAGTAGCTACTTAAGAAATGCCCATGTGGACCAGGACAGACTGTGACATGAGGAGAGGCAGAAGGGAACGGGAGTGTGAATGCTTGCAGTGGATTTGGAAGGCAGCTAGCTGCTTAAGGGCGGATTAAGGAGGCCACACTAGCTCCGAGGGTTCATGGAGTTTGGTTTCTTGCCAAATAAGGGCAGATTAAGGAAGTCAACCAACACCTGAATAGAAGGATAACGGATATTTATTTGGGGAGTACTCATGCAATGAAGGTAATAAGCCACCATGGTCTTCTGCCCCTGGGGTGCAGGATGCTCAGACTACAACCCAAGAGGGAGCAAGGCCCCTCTTCCTTATAAGGGGTAATGTCCGAACACCTGCACGCACACCCATGCCTAAACTTCCTATTCAGGAGGTCAAGGCCTCTCCCAGTGGCATTGCCTAATCAGGAAGCCATGTATAACAGATGCAGGGTATATCTTCCAGTTCACAGATGGTGGTGCCATGAGTGTAATTGAGAACCAGGTGGTTGACTGTCATCAGGGTCAGGGAGCCTGTCTTTCCTCTTGCCTGCTGGGGTGGGGTTCCCAGAAGCCTCATTAAGGCATGATGCCTACAGATTCAGCATGTTCTGCTTGGCATGCTGAGATTCCTTGGAAACACTCTACTTTGTTGTCACCCGAGGCCCTGGAGGTGTCAATCAGAGCAGCTGAGCTGGGATGACAGCACCCAGGACCCCGGGCATGCTCTATGGAGGACATGCAAGTGACCATTGCTTATTCCTGTCACTGGGATGTCCTCTGGCCCAGGCTCTGCTCGAGTTCTTTGCACCATCCAGCACCCAGAACTGCTGGGATTTACTACGTGGGCTGACTTGGCTGTTAAGTTTCTAGGCCTCAAGAAGGCGAATTCCGTGAGGGCAGCCCCTCTTTACTGTTGGGTCTTCAGCACTTGGAACTTATCTAACCACACTGGTCATGTGCTAAGTGAACAATAAATACAGTGAATGAATGGCTACCTTCCAGGAAGGAAGATGATAAGACCAGCTTGCTCCAATGACCAAGAAGTCTCATCGCATTTAGATGAGGGTGGGGCCAGGCGCCGCAGGAAGTCCTTGCATGGGAATGGGGAGGAGCAGAGGTAACCAACAGACATGCAGAAAAGAAGGTCACCAACGTGGTGGGTAGAGGCTGAGGAAGAGAGAGTTCATACCATAGCTCTGGTTTATAGCTACGAAGCTTGGTTCCACAGAAACTCCAAAGTGATCCATATTTAAGACCTGCTACAGCCTGCAGTGTCCCTGTGGCAGAGACTGGGGACTGTCTGATAAGCACCCTCCATACTCAAGAACCTGGAGACACAATCATTGAATGTCTTCCCAGGAAGTGCTCAGCCTAAGGGAGACCTGCATGAGGTCATGCCCTCCTGGGGCAGTGGCGTGCCAGGACTAGTTGATGTAGCTGCCCCTTTCAAACCAGAGACGATCTGAGAGGCAGTCCAGCCTCTGAGTTTTATTGGGTCAGCTATGGAGTTGGCTATGGCTTACATGACAATTATATCCAAACTCAACTTCTCCCCTCTGTCCAGGGTTATATCCCTGAGCAGACAGATACCAGAACCACACCCCAACAGCACCTTCACAGGTCCCTTAGTAAGCCTCTTCCAGAAAATACAGATTCAAATGACACCCACAAGGCATTCTGGAAATGATGAGAGCCCAACTAGAGTTTCAGCAGGGCTGGTGGCATCAGCTCCCTTCACCCTGGTTTTCTCTCCTCTGAGAGGGACCGGGGAAAGGGGAGCCTTGTTCCTCACCGGAGCTTGTCACCTGCTGGGTGAGGGTGCTGTTGGTTCACACTTCCCAGTTCCACGATTCTAAGCAAATCTTTTCTGTCTCCTCCTTTGTAAGGTAGGCCCCCGGCTTCAACAGCTGTTGAGCACATTCTCTTACGGAGGAGGTTCTACCTGCGTCAGGCATGGCCTTTCTCAGCGATAGCCATTTTGCAAGGTGTCTGAGTGTCTTCTCAGTTCCTGAGTCTGGAGTCCAGCCTGTGACACTCTGCTTTTTACACTCTGACAGGGGATGAACGGTGGGAACCGTGTCTAAAGGGTTGCCCTCCTGCTGCCTCACTCCTCACAGGAAGCTTTCAAAATAAAAGATGCTGTTATTAGCCAAAGTGTCTGAAATTTTCTTATCACTAACTCAGATCATCCAGGAACATGCCATTTCCATCATAAATCAGCCAGCCACAATAGACCTGCCCAGGCACAGCAGAAAGATGACAATAATGAGTGTGTGTGCTTCTGCAGCGTCTTTGTTCTGCGAAGTGCCGAACAATGGACCATCATTAACTCATTAATCCTACAGCTATCCCTGAGAGGCAGGCCCAGGCTGGAGCCTCTCTCCTTGAATAGGCAGGGAAATAACATGGGGAGGACCAACCCCTGATTTTGTGCTGGGCTTCTCTGCTCAAGGGCTTTGCAAATAGAACTCGCTTGTAACCCATCCATCTGGGAACATGTTGAGACTTGATTGCCAGCACAGCTATGATAGGAGATGGGGTTGACAGTCTTGGGGATGAACCCCATGAATGGATTAGGGCCTTTCTTATATAAATTCTAGTTCTCACAGGACTGGATGAGGGACCGTGAGGGTAGGTTGCCAGGAAGTGAGTGCTACTCACTACATCAAGCTACTCCAAGTTGTGCGAAACAATGTCTGTTCAGAGTGGGCCTTGAGAGACAGACTCCATTTTACAAGCAGCTTTTGACTCCATTTTGAGGGTGGCTCTGCAGCTGCATGGAGGAGCAAACAGTTCCACCTGCCCAGCACCACCCCACCACAGGGCTGACGGGGTGGACTAGGGCTATAGAAGCAGATGGGTTTACCACATCACAGCAGGAAGCCAGCATGGAGAACCCATCTCACACACACAAGTCTGTGGAAAGCGTGTAACACCCTCATGTGCACACTGTGAGAAGTGGACACCCAGTACAGACATGGCCCCTGTCTTCCTGCTGCGTGCCTAGGAAGGACAAGCTGAGAACTCCTAATGTCCCCCAGGCTTCACTGGACTCCAGCTCCGTTGTTGATCTATCTGACACGCGTCCACCCATCCACCCGGACCTGGTCCTGCCCTTTGCCTCAGCTCTTTCCTGTAGTCCTTCTGTAACTTACATGTCAATAAATGGTAGATGATAGATGAGTGATAGACGATTGATAGATAGATGGATAGATGATAGATGATAGATGATTGATAGATGATAGATGATTGATAGATAGATTGATTGATAGATGATAGATAGATGATTGATAGATAGATGATTGATAGATAGATGATTGATCGATAGATAGACAGACAGACAGACAGACGATCCTGGATCATATAGCGATGAGTAGAATCGGATCCAAGCCAGACTGACTAACTCTGAACGCCTAGACCATGACACCTGCCCAGATGTGGATCTCAGAAGTCAGCAGAATGCCAGAGGCCAACACTGAAGCCAGAAGTGAGGGTGCAGGTCAGAGGGTGCAGGTCAGAGGGTGCAGGTCAGAGGCTGACCACAGGTGCAAGAGCTAGCAGCGGAAGATGAGAAGTTCTGATGTCAGAGTGGCATTTGCCTGCAGGCTGGTGATTCAAAGCTACTGGAGTCATTTGGAATTAGTCTGGATAAACGCCAGTGTCCCCTTGACCTGGGCTGGAGAAGATGAGAGAGAAGGGCCTTGGTAGCAATTACAATGGAGGTGCAGTCCAAGTAGAGGGACAGACAAGCCCTCCGTCTCCTCCATCTCAAAGACCTGCCCCTTGCAGTGAACGAGCCCAGGTAGCAGCTTCCGCTCCACATCAGGTCAGCCTCTGTCCTTACTCCCCTTCCACAGAACCAGCCTCTCTCTCTCTCTGTCTCTCTCTCTCTCTGTCTCTCTCTCTCTCTGTCTCTCTCTCTCTCTCTCTCTCTCTCTCTCTCTCTCTCTCTCTCTCTCTCTCTCTCTCTCTCTCTCTCTCTCTCAAATCTTTTAGTCTTTCTGCCTCAGACTAAGAAAGTACGTACCACCATACCCAGCTCTAAGATCTGAAAAGAAATCACTTCCCGTCACGCCCCTGGTTAAAAGCACCCGTGTCTTTCTCGACACACAAGCACCTATGGCCCCGTTTTGGCCCACTTTCCGAAGCCTCTCCTGTCCCAGACACACCGATCTTTTGGCCTTGCGTCACACTCTGCCTGACACTTCTGTGCGCCAGCCAGAGGAAGCCATTCCAGGCATTTTGACATTAATTATCTTCTTGGTCTTACCCTGGCTGATTTGTACTTGTTAATTACTTCCTTTGTTTATTTTTTTATTAAGACATAAGCTCCGAGGCTTAGAGCTTTACCCATATTTTGGTAATGATGCCCTGCCCTCCCTGGAGAGCAGCTGGGTCCCGGAGTAATAACTAACCTCGCAGAGTGCTTATCACAGGAAACAATTTACACGTCCTTTCAGCCCCCAGCACTCCCAGGGATTGCTCCCATCTCTCAGGTGAGCGAGCAGAGCTAGAACTGATGCAATGTGTCTAAGTCACATGCGGTCAGGACAGCAAGGTCGTGGATGTCAACCACCTAGTCCGCACGCCAAGACACTCCCTGCCTTTGGACTCGGCCTGAACTCCTTAAGGTAAGAAAAGAGCCAGCTATGGTCTAACACTTCAGTTTTGCCTAGCATTCCTTGATGCACACAGTAGGAAGCAGGCTTGGAGAGCCTTCTAGAAGCCCTTGTCTCCTCCTGGCCATCTGCCTTACCAGGCATTTACTTCACCCTTTCTCACGTTTTTAGGTTCCGGTTTAGGGAGTCCCCTCAAACTGCGGGACAAAGCAAACCCTCTTCCCTTCGTCAGGTACTTTGTCCCAGCAACAAAAAAGCAACGAACACATCAGTCAATCTACAGCTAAATGTGTGACAAACTGTTACACACACATTAGTAAATACGTGTCTTAATACAATATACATATGTACATATGCACAGAGTTGGAAATGAAATATATGAAAATACAAAGTGCTCAGCATAAGAAATGAATAGTCAGCATAAGAAAAGAATGAAGACATGTCTGGAACATTCCTTAGTTCTAGCACACCATCCTCAAGTCTCGTTTTGGAAACCAGAGTACCAGCTTAGCTTGGTGTAAAAGGAAAAGTGCAAACACAGAAAGAAAACATCCCAACAGCAGATAATTGACGCAGGCATCCAACAGTCATTCGTCCGATGACCCACACTGGGCAAGTCTGGGTGAAGGGGTCATTTCCTAATTGTGGGCCTCAGTTTCTCCATCCGTAAACATGGGGTGTTGTCTAAGCCCCCAGGGACTTCCTTGAGCCCAGATCCCACACGGCACTGAACACTAGTTCAGGTTCATCTACCTGAACTCCACCACTAGCTCATGTCAGAGGAAGGGCTGACTCACAGAGAGATGGGTCACAAAGTCCTCAGGGGTCAACCCTTGCATTTGCTGGCCTTTTATTAACCAGTTGACACACACACTCTCTCTCCCTCCCTCCCTCTCTCTCTCTCTGTCTATCTTTCTGTGTGTGTTTGTGTTTATGGAAAGGAAAAAATCACAGAGAAAACAAAGGCACTACTAATTTCAGCGAATTATGCAGAGATTTGGAAGTATAATGAAATCCATAAAACACAGCCTGAAATAAGAGCCCTGAACTTTCCATAATTTTTGGTGATAAAAAACGACAGCTGAGCACTGACACCATTCATAAACACCAGGGCTGCTAGCCCAGCCCACACAGAGAACTCGCCGTCACTCCACCCCTGGGAGGAGGGCAGGGGGAAAAGGCAGTTCTTTAAGTGCCACAGGTAAATCTCAACTTCACACTACAGGACGCCAGGGCTGCAGGGACCCGAGAATTCCGTTGTATGTTTGAAGGGTCGGAGTCCTGCCTCCTATGGATTCCATCCTGTGAAGCCGGGAGACTGTGAGGTGTGGGGTGATTGTGAGGGGTTGGGTGACTGTGAGGTGTTGGGGTGACTGTGAGGGGTGACTGTGAGGGGTTGGGTGACTGTGAGGTGTTGGAGTGACTGTGAGGGGTGACTTGAGGGGTTGGGTGACTGTGAGGTGTTGGGGTGACTGTGAGGGGTTGGGGTGACTGTCAGGGGTTGGGTGACTGTCAGGGGTTGAGGTGACTGTGAGGAGTGACTGTGAGGGGTTGGGTGACTGTCAGGGGTTGAGGTGACTATCAGGGGTTGGGTGACTGTCAGGGGTTGGGTGACTGTGAGGGGTTGGGTGACTATCAGGGGCTGGGGTGACTGTGAGGTGTTGTGTGACTGTCAGGGGTTGGGGTGACTGTCAGGGGTTGGGTGACTGTCAGGGGTTGGGGTGACTGTGAGGGGTTGGGGTGACTGTCAGGGGTTGGGGTGACTGTGAGGGCTTGGGGTGACTGTCAGGGGTTGGGGTGACTGTGAGGGGTTGGGTGACTGTCAGGGGTTGGGGTGACTGTCAGGGGTTGGGTGACTATCAGGGGTTGGGTGACTATCAGGGGTTGGGGTGACTGTCAGGGGTTGGGGTGACTGTGAGGGGTTGGGGTGACTGTCAGGGGCTGGGTGACTGTCAGGGGTTGGGTGACTGTGAGGGGTTGGGTGACTATCAGGGGTTGGGTGACTGTGAGTGGTTGGGGTGACTGTCAGGGGCTGGGTGGCTGTCAGGGGTTGGGTGACTGTCAGGGGTTGGGGTGACTGTGAGGGGTTGGGGTGACTGTCAGGGGTTGGGGTGACTGTGAGGGCTTGGGGTGACTGTCAGGGGTTGGGGTGACTGTGAGGGGTTGGGTGACTGTCAGGGGTTGGGTGACTGTCAGGGGTTGGGGTGACTGTCGGGGTGACTGTGAGGGGTTGGGGTGACTGTGAGGGGTTGGGTGATTGTGAGGGGTTGGGGTGACTGTCAGGGTTGGGTTGACTGTGAGTGGTTGGGGTGACTGTCAGGGGTTGGGGTGACTGTGAGGGGCTGGGTGATTGCCAGGGGTTGGGTGACTGTCAGGGGTTGGGGTGATTGTCGGGGTGACTGTCCGGGGTTGGGGTGACTGTGAGGGGTTGGGTGACTGTCAGGGGTTGGGTGACTGTGAGGGGTTGGGGTGACTGTCAGGGGCTGGGTGGCTGTCAGGGGTTGGGGTGACTGTGAGGGGTTGGGTGACTGTGAG